GAGAGAGAGCTGACAGGTTCTCTTCAGCTTGAACTCTTAGAAACAAAAGCCCTTAGGGAAAGTAATGCAATAGTCTATGAGTAAAGTGTACATTTGCTTCTGAACTCCCCCATTTAAATCTCAACTAACATTAAAATGGAAAAAAAAGAAACACATTATACAGATAGATTTGCATTTAGTAAACGGAATGTTCTGTTTGAATTAAAAAGAATTATCAAGTTACATATACACCACACACACAAACACACACACACACACATATATATATATATATATACATACATACATATATACATACACAATACATGGCATATCAGAATCACAGCATAAATATTCACGCAGCTGTCCAATGCTTTCTAAGTAATCTCCTTTAGTTTTGCTTCCTCCCAATTGAAATAAAACACACACACACACACACACACACACACACACACAAACCCATAGACTCACACGCTTTAAGAAACTGGAACAACGCAGTTGATATGCTTTCTTTTTATCCAAGTAGCCAGTGCCAGCCGTTTCCCTACCTACCCAAGTGTTCCACCAGCTTCAGCACCTGGAGGAGTGGACAGCTCAGCGGGCCGACTGCCGGCAGCACTCTCAGCCGAACTGACGCTCTGAGCTCTAACCAAAGCTCTCTCGTGCTTCAGCGGGGCAGCCTGACTTACGAGAACACCATTTCCTACGAGGCCACTGCCGCTGGGTGCATATTCAATTCAAACCTCCTTAAGCTGTCGGATTTCCCCCACCCATCCACCCTCCCCCCGTTCTCCACCCTCCACACAAAAAAACAGAAAAGGGAAGAAGCCCAATACCATCAGGGCGTATGTTGATCAACTTACACTTTGCTTTTGAATATTTAGATACTGCTAGCGGAGCAATATCAACGGAGGCTTAGGTCCGCATTAAGTACCTTTGTTCATCGACTCCTGCAAGCCATGTTTATTAGAATCTACATTTCTTTCAAGCCCCAATAACTAGAGGTGTGTTTTGCGGGCAGGGGGGCTTTCAGCACCTTTTGATCTCTCAAGGCCACCGCGACTGACTGCCAGTCCCCACTACTTTCCCACCCTGTCCCCCACACTCCAAAATCCATCGCAGTCAAATGCTTGGTAATTTGCAACCAAATATACATAAAGAAACGCGACAATGCAATCGGTTTGAGGAAATAAGCCAATTAAGCTAAAGCAGAAATGCTTCTCTCTCCCCCACCCCCTTCTCCCCCTTGCCTCCCTCCCTCTCCCTCTCCTTCCCTCTCAAGTAGAAAGGGGGAAACACCGAGGAGAGGGAAAAATTCGGGAGGAGGGTGGTAGTCGACTCTTACAATCAATGGAAAAACACTATACACATCTTTACTGAATCATGCTCTTTCTCAGACAAAAAGAAACACATTTATCGATGTAAACATAGTCACCCTCGTCCACACATCCTACATCCTTCACGTTTGCTGAGATTTGTCTTGCGGTATAGCAAAGTAACTGTCACAAATCCATCTCGATTGAAGTGCTTACCCTCTAAATCCAGGTTTCAAGCGGAACTCCAACTGTGTGTAGAAGCCAGAGAGTCATCAGATGAGCGGCTAGGTAGGCTCTGGGCAGTCGGAGCTGCTTCCCTCCGACTGCCGGGTTACAGTGTTAACAAGCCCTGGGAAGGGACCTCGCTGCCTCGCGCTGGCTGTGCCCCAGTGCCTTCGCGTGGTGGCGGCTTGTTCACGCTTCCGAGGAGTCCCAGGCGATAGCCTTCAGCTGATGTGAGCTTCCAGAAAGGAGTGGGGAAGGGAAAAAAATCATCTAATGCAATCAAATCGATCTGATCTACACCATCTGTCGCCTGCCACTATACACAAACGTTAAAATAGGAAAACGGAAAACACTGACAGCCCGAGAGGGTTGGTCTGCAAAGAGTTCATTTTTAGCAGAGCATAATTGGGTATGGTCGGCGTACAGTTACAAAAGCTGCTGTTAACCATCCAGTAGTGGATCCCAAACATGCTAATGGTGGATTAATTGAGGAAGATCTGACGTGCAAGCTTCATAGTCTCTTATTCATGACTTCCCAATGGGAAAGGACCAATGCCTTGTGGGACTATGGTAACATACAGTCAAAAAGCTGCTAAGAAAATGGCTGTGTGTTCACAGCACCTCTCTCTGATAACAAACATATGTCGACTAAAACGGTTTAGTAGAATGGGGGGGGGAGGTTGAGAATAAAATTTTCTTTCCTGGTATAAGCAACCCGCATCTTCTTTCCTTAAAGGAAAGCAAAAATAGATACCATATCTTTACCACAGTGAAAGAAAAAGGATACCTTAAAAGATTTTTATCAAGATTAAACTGTGCCATAGAAAGAAACAGAGCACTTCTGTGCAGCAATACTAAACAAACAAACAAACAAACAAAACAACAAAAAAGAGCCTATTATATTCTTTTCCTTACTGTGATCAAAGTAGACCCATACCATGTGCAGCATATAGAAACTCAGCCCAGTTAATCCCATCAGGATTGACTGGAGGTTGTTTAATGCCAGGTACCCTTTTGACTTCTTGAAATTAGGATGCCTCTTGGGCAAGACATTTTGCTTCATTGAAAATTGACATAATGAATGTTAAATGTGACTGCAGTGAGGAGATGGGTAGAGTTTTCTTTTTTAATTCTACAATTATTCCCTCCAGCCAAACCCCTTTTTGGTCTCTTTCCATTCTTTCATGATCAGTTGATGGGGGAGGTATAAGGATTGAGGATGGAGTGGAGATATGGGAAGATGCCTGGGAATGGGAAATGTAGATTACCAATAGTCAATAAATTCTATTCCATCTGTAAATAAGAAAAAAAACCTATGGCAATAAAAGAGATCACTTACTATTACTATTTGTTAATCATAAATTTAAATATAAATCAGTTTTTAAAATTAATGTTTTATATGTGAAAAATATATATTGTAAGCAATAGTGTGACTGTCCCCCATCCATTTGTAATTTTAAGATTTAAAAAAGGAATAGAGTTCATTATCTAGATATATGACATCCTTTCATTATCTATATCTAATATTCCACATTTCCTCTGATTTGTCATCCATTTGAAGGCTGAACTGCTCATATTTACTTTGCTGCCTTTTTTGAGCACATAATTACGTGTATTCATAGTAAACAGCGTTTAGGCTAATTCTTGAGATAGCTGAATATGTCTCCGGAAACTTTGATAATCTCTTTAAGAAAAAAACCTAACAGTTATGAATTAGATTAGTCTAAAAATATAGCTTGAAGACAAATCAAACAATTTACCTGATATTTTGTTTCAATATACATTAATTAAACACTCTTTTCAACCTACACAACATTCCAGGGTCAAGTCAGAAATCTCAGCAGCCATTGCTGTCATTCGTGTCAAGCTATTGCCCCCTGCAGGTTAGGCTGAAAGTGCAGGCACAATTTGGCCAAATCCTCAGGAAATTTATGGTAGTCCTGTCATTCACTCTCTCCCAATATTTAAGTTGACTTTTTAACTTTAAGTTTGTTTACATTAGAGTTTAAACTATTTAGTTAGAGATAGCTATTAAATTTTCAAAACTGAGATTTAAAGATAGCGGATTTCAATTTTCCTTCTGAAAATTTTGCTGGGTAGAGCAGACCATCCACTTTCTTGTCACACAGGAAGTACCTTGATGCAATTAATATAGTTTTTTCATCTTCCCTTATCCTTTTCCCACAAGATCCAGCACAACTCAAGAACAAATGCAACAGAATTGGGATTATGGTTTCTCAATAAGAAAAAATAATCCTGAATAAAATTGCCCCTGAATGTCAGTGCGCTCTTTGTAGACTCAATGAAGTGCATTCAAATCAAACCCTTTCAGAGTCTTCCTACTGCTGATATGATGGGGACAATTACACTGTTTTTCTTGATTATGAAGTGAAACATAATTTCAACCTTCATGCTCCTGCCATCCCATCCTCCTTCTCTACAATCAACTTTTCCAAACAAGGCACCTTGCCAAGATGAAATAAATTTATTGTTGACAGAATATAAATCAAATTGCATCAACTTTTCCACAGTATTAGATAGTAGAGCAGGTTGACGGGAATAATTTCATAAGGTTTATGGGAATATTCCTTTATATTTTGGAAGTCACATATGGCCACTTACACTGACTTGTAAGTACCCTACAATGGTATTTTCTTATTATTTAAATACATATCTCATTGAGAAATGGGATATCATTATGCAAAATACCAATTCTAATGCCAACTCAACAATCATTAAGAATTTTACCCAGTCAAGTGATCTACGTATTATTTCCACATTGTGTTGAAATAATTAGAGATATAAAATGCATTCTGCTATCTTAGAGGTATCTGAAATGTTCACAAAAGTCTTAAATAAAGGATAGTGGCAAAACTCAGGGCTTTCTTGCAGGATTTTTTACCCTAACCACTGATGCTCTTTCCAGATCCTCCAGAATTGAAATATGGGATAGGAATTGGGGGGTAACTATGCCATATTTTAAACAAATCTAAAAAGAAAACCAACCAACCCACCAAGCAACCAACAAAAACCTCAGTGCCTATCCTTGTTTTATTACATTTTTAAAGCTTGTTGTTAATTTTCTAAAGAACACTACATCTGTAAATCAAGATCTTTCCCTCTACAGTTCACTAACACTCTCACTCCAAGAGAAGAGAGGCTTTGGACTAGGCTGTTGGACTAATAATTGCACAAGTTGTAGTCAGAATAGCGGCTGGTTGTCTACAGCTAACATTTCTAGTTGTCTTTGAGTGGACATTTTTCAAGAAAAGAAAATTCACTTCTCTTTCGAAATTATATATTATATATATATGAAATGATTGCACATCATTATATATATACGAGGACATTGCTATTGAGTTAGAAAATTACAACTATTTTGATTCAAATGCCTATCAACAGAGTTGCTTTTGATTAGCGTCCAGAAAAGAGAGATGGTGTCATTTGACCTGCGGGTCTGAATCAAAAGGAACGTTTTCTAGTTCTCCCCATACAGGACACGGCAGATTGCTCGCAAGTGCCCAGAAAAACACAATTCTCTTCCTCTTCCTATCACCACTATTATTTTAATTGCTTCTAAAGGATCCGAACAGAGTTCTAGAAACCTCATAGTGTTCTGTTATTGCCGGAATCCAGGGTTATTAGACAGCCCTAGTCTCAGAAAGGAAAGACCAGGCAATCTTATTCATACGCATCCTATGACTCAACTCAGTTTTCCGCTTGATGGGTCGCTGTGTGTGTGTGTGTGTGTGTGTGTGTAGGTTCATCCCCAAAGCGCTTGTTTCCAGAGGTTTTCAAGTGCAAATGGAGTGGGAGTGGTGGTGGAGTGCGGTGCGTGGTCGTGGGGGGGATTTGGGGAGATTGTGCTGTGGGGCAGTAACTTTATACAAATTCAAGGCCATCACTACATTAACTGCAGATCAAAACCACGTAGGTGGTAGCGACCCCAAGGAAAGACACACTATCTTCCTCCTCTAGGCCGAGGCTAGCCACAGACCGGTTACAGAGCTCGCGCGGTTTAGAGAGAGGGTCCCGCGACCGCCCGAGACCAGATCTCGCGGGGACGGGGATGGGAGGGGGGGTAGGGGGCTTCGGCTAAACTCTCATTTGGCGACGTGAGGAGCTCGAGTCGCCAGGCCCAGGGCTCCCTGGCCGAGAAAAGCCGCCCGCAAGGCCAGCCGCCAGGGCCCCGGCTCACTGTGCTCGGACGCCCAGGAGAGGGGCCAGTGCACCGATGCTAGTTTCTGCGGCTGCAGCCCGCCAGCGCGGGCTCGGACCCCGGCCTCCTCAGGGATAGTTAAGGAGCTCAATCTCCACCTGGACCTCGGGTCGAGGTCGGGGAGCAAAAGCCCAGGTGTGGTTACACACGACAACGACAGACAAACTGCTGCCACTCTGGGCTACGTCGGCCTGCGCCTGGCAGCCCCAGAAGCGCACCATGCGGCCGCGCTGTCTCGGGTCCTCCAGCGTCCGGGCCGGAGACCTCGGCTCGCCCTCCAACGCTCCCAAGAGGAAGGCTGCCTGGGGCCAGAGGTTGAACCGGGCGGGAGGCCGGAGCCGGCAGGCCGGAGCCAGGCGGCGCCGCGGGACTCGGGAGCCGGAGCACGGCGGAGGCTCGGACCCTGTTCCTGAAAACGCTCGACTCCTCCAAGATGTGTCAAGTCTAAGGCAGCTCCAGGCACGCTCCGCGAACTTTCGGGGAACCGACTGTGTGGCTGTCCCCCGTTAGCCTTCCCCCAGTCTGCAGATCTCCCGCCCTCCTCAGTCCCCGGCCGCGCGGAACCCGGAGCAGCACGGAGTTAAGCAGAGCGAAGGCGCCCCCTACTGGCCGGATACGGCAGGCGCGGCGATTCGCTCAGGTTCCCACAGCCCCTGCGGGCGCGGCCCCGCCCTGACCCACCCCGACCGTCCGGAGCCCCCGGCGCTGGGGGCTTGTGAAAAGAAACAGAAAACAAAACAAAACAAACACCGCGCCAAACTCCACTCTCACCTCGTCTACGTCCCAAAGGTAAGTGTGAGTCCAGCATCTCCCATGCCCCTCTCTGACCCTCCTTTGGTCCTCTGGGCTGAGGTGGGGGAGGGACGGGGAGACAAAAGGGCCACCTCCCAAAAAAGAAATCGTGACTGCTTTTGAAAGCACGTTTTCCAAGCATTAAGATCACACACACGCACGCACGCGCGCGCGCGCGCGCGCGCACACACACACACACACACACACACACACACACACACACACACACAACCAAACCCACGCTTACCAGTCCGTTGGAGGGCTACTGATGTGCATGTTTCTGGAAGCATTTCATTAGCTGTTGGAGGAAATGTTTACTAATGATTCAGGTGGCAGGCAACAGCAGTAATTCTGTGGATTGGAAAGAGAAGGGACAGGAAGAAGGATGCCCTTTAGTTTGATACTCCTCCCATACTTGGACTTGAGTCCTTTCAGTCTCAAGTCCTAGAATGGGTAGAAGAGTTCTCATCTTCCTACTGAGACGGAAGCGATTCAACCATCTCTGAGGGGTTTTCTGTGACCTGCTCCCATTCCTCACCAGAGACCTGGGGAAGGGATTGTTTTGTCTGTCTAGATAATTCATGATTTAGTTCTGTATGGCATTTTGAAATTAGTAGAACCTTGAAATAGGCTATATGCTTTGAGTGGCTGGTTTTTCTGTGCTTAGGTAAAGGTTATTAGAAACCACAACGTTCTTTTCTATTCAGGCAACCTTGAGTTAGACATGGGCACAATACCTTGTTGTGGTGACTTCAGCCATGTCTATTGCCTCTGGATGTTGACTGTCTTTGGAGAAAGAGCAGAATTTTATATTTGTAAAAAATAAATTTAGGCAAAGAATAAGCCTAGTAAAAGACTTCTACTTTCTTCACATACTCTTTTGGAGAAAGAAACTAAAGGGTTTTGACTTTCTGAGACTAGTTTAAAGTAGGCAAAATCGATGAGAGTATCTTTTAAGATAATGTCTGTTTTCTTATTTGGTACTTTCAGATGGATGACAGAATATTTGACCTAATAAGGGAAGGAATGAGGCTGATAGGAAGTGAGATCAGATAGCTCTCCATTATATCCACCAATCCAGGAGATCTGAGCAGAGCATAGAGAGTTTGAATTCCTCCAGATGATAACAACATATAATAATAAAAAATGAACATATATTGAGTGTTACTCACCGCCAAGTGCCATGCTGCAGTCTTTGCCTTCATTATGTCATTTAACTCTCATTATGTCATTGTAGTCCTATGTATAAGGCACTGTTATAGTTTCTCATTTTACAGAACAGGTAAGTAAAACTTAGAAAGGTTTCTTTACACGACCAAGGTGACAACAGGTAGTAATCAGAAGAGCAAGGATCTGCAAGCAGGCAGTGGAAAAAATGTCCTGAGAAATGATGCTCATTGTATGGACTTCAGGCTGGTAATACACTGATATTTTAGGTTTGAGTTTTAGCCTTTGATTGAAAAAAGGTAAGATATCTTTTCTTGAAAGGAAGTAGTTGATAAAATGGAAGTATTTGTTCTGAAAAATGCTTGTCAGTTCCCTAACCCCATTTCACAGATGTGAAAACAGAGAGGATGAATCATCTTAGCTACCATAGTGAAGTTCATAGCCAGGCCTTACAATCAGATTCCAACTCCTCTATCCATTCCACTTAACCACACTGCCCAAAGACAGAAAGATCCTTGGTTTTTCTCAAAATGCTCAACAGTAAATCATTAACAGCTCAGAGCCTATATTTCTCAGTGAATACGTTTTCTCTCATCTTAATTGTGAATACCTTTTATACTGAAAGAAGGCAAATGCAGAAATAGTGCTATTCTCAGTGGTGAATTAAATGACACAAAAAATGGCATAAGGCGAAAATAATTACATCAGCTTTACTTGAAAAGTAGTTAAAGCAGTTAAAAAGATATCTGGAAGACCTGTCTCAGTACAATTTTAGTCTTTTTCATCCCTCAAGACACATCCTACCTTACCCCAGGAAAGTCATTCCACATACATTTCTGCTAGCTTTTGTTCATAAAAGAGTTTAACACTCACAAGGTTTCGGTACTTTTCATCTCCATTCACGTATTTCTTCTTTGCTCTGTGAATGGTGTCTGTAAAATGTCAAAACACATCTCTGGAGTGACCACTTTAATGGCAAAAACAAACAAACATATTAATTGGCAAGAGATTTTTGACTGGCGTCCACATTTTAACACACACTTACAATGCACTGAAGTATATTGTGTAGAACTGATTTACTCTGTGTTGTAAAGTTAGCTCAGGTACAGAGTGTGCTTTATAAAATGGTCTTAGTATCATTTGAAAATATCAGAAAAAGCCAGAGGAACTGCCTTAAATCAGATTGGACTGCAGCCCATATGCCTAAGCTTTCTCAATCATTTGTGTGGACTTATTTGGCGACATGGCCTCCTGTCATGTTGGGATCTGTGGTTTTTTCAGAGGTTTGATTTAGTCGAATATGATTGTTTAGGTCAAGTTGGGAGTTTTCTCCCTTCCACCTCTCATTAAAGCCCTAGTATCAATATTAGTAGTTTGGGACTATTATGTTATATAATGATTCTTGCTTGTCTGTGTGCATTTGTACCATAAACTTTCACAGATTTTTAGACTTCAGACTTTTAAAAATTATCTTTTTATGTTACTGATGGCTAAGTTGATGTCCTGAGAGGTAATACAGAATTGTCAAGGTCACCCATTTAGACAGGGAGAAAAGAAGAACTGGAACCCAGACATTCTGTATTCAAGCTCTAAGGCCAGTGCATTCCCATAGCATCATGTTCCTTCTTATTGGATTGTCAGAGAGTCAATCACTCTTCAACAACTAGTTATTGTCATAAACTTGGCAGATGTCCTAGGCATTAGGAATTCAACAAAAAGAAAAATAAAACAATCCAGAAAAAAGGCTTTAATTTGTTGAAACTGATATTCTACTGGTGGACAAAATTAAATGCCAGTCTTTTCAATGGTTATAAAGACATTTTTAAAAAAAATATCTTTAATGTGTTAAGCTGTGCAAGGCAGACAAAACATGCTAATATTCTTCCACATTTCCTGGTAAATAAATTTGGGGAGCCCTAGTGACAAGGGTTGAAGTTATTGATGGGAAATTAGTAAATTAAATGGGCATAGTAAACCAGGTATTTGGGGCCCTCTCAGGTGATCCATTAATGGATCAAAGATTATTCTTTCCCAGAGTCTGTCTGTGATTTGGGATTAAATACCTGTGAGAAAACAGACTTTTGCAGGAGCTGGGTAAAAAAATAATAAAGAGGTCAAAGATGAAATTATTCAATAAGATGTTTTCAAAAATGACATATTTTCAAGTGTATATTAGATGGTCCTAGTTGATGAACCTAAGGGCTGGGGGAGCACTGGCTGGAGTGTTTAAGGCAGAAGCTTCAGAGTGTTGGTTATTAACTCAACTTCCAATAAAGCAATAATATGCTATAATAGTTATAATATAGTATAATAATATAATATATTAGCTATCAATATAATGGTTTGTCTATTTCACATTTCCACCTTTATATGTTAGCCACGTGATTGGCAGGACTGGCTGAAATACACTGCTGGATAAATGTTCCATCGCGGGGGGCACCTAACTCTAGTTCACTGTATTGTGAACTGTTGAGGAACTCTTGCAGGGTTTCTCTTTTATGTTGCCCTGTTGTCATGTGTTGGCAAGGAAATGGTTACATTGGACCCTCAGGAGGGTCACTGATCTATGTGCTGCCTCTAAGTGTAACCGGAACCAAATTAGATCTACACAAAGTGTTGAATTGCAGAAAAATGGTTGAATTGTTGTTTCTACTACCTATATTAGAAATAATATAGGTAGTAGATTAGAACTTAAAAGTGAAGACGTCTGAATCTTCTTCAGTTTATTCTGCCCTCAGGCCAACTGAAGAAGCAGTAGCGTATTCCCCCTCTATGATCACTGAAGAAAGTGGCAAACCCTAACTAAATAAAGGCAAACATGATCCCTGAAATCTTTTTGATTTGCCTTAAGATCTGAGTGAGCTTATGGAAAAATTATGTTGGAGCTATCAAATGATGTGACTAAGGTTACCTTTCTGGAGGGGTGAAAAGGTCTTTGTGAACCTCGCTTTTGGCTTTTGGCACCTTGTAAAAAGAAGGAAAGAGGGAAGGAAGGGAGGAAGGGAAGGAAAAAAAAATCTCGTTTGAGGTGGGAGTTGAGTGACGAGAAATTTTTAGTCTTCAGGTTTAATTTTTCTGCACTAGGTGTATAATAATATCATTTTTATATGTTTAAACCCATACTTAGCTAGGCATTAAGCTCTAGGAATAATCTGTTTATAGAAAATAAAGCCATTTCTATTTGAAAACAAATGGAAAAAATAATTATTTTTTCCCCAAATGTGTACCCTTTTAATTGATCAAATGCATCCAAGAAATTCTGCCGGCAATGTGTACACTCTGTAGGTGTTGTTGCTGCTCTAAATTTGTCTGCAAGAGGAATTGTAAATGGTATTTACCTTTTAATTAAACAAAGCATCTTGCAAATTAAACACATGTTCTTGCACATCAAAATTTAGTTAACATCCTTTTCATTGTTCATCCTGCTGACATGCTGACAGCATCATGAGTCCGCACACAATATAGGATCACGCTGCTCCTCCTCCCCGGCACTTTGCATTCCTCAGAGCAGATGATATCACATGCTAGAGTACACTCTGTAAGTGACTTCTAATAACTGAGAAGCTTTTCCCATTTAATATACTTAATATTGTGTAAAATATGGGACTACATTGGTGTGTCCAGAACCTGGAAAGCTTTGGACACTGATCTGACATGTGTCTTATAATCTTACATTGGAAATTTGACAGTGAATGACAGAACACCTTAGAGGAATACAGGAAGCTGATAAAGGCAGAAGCACTGCACATGAATGCAGAGTCTGGTTTCTAATAGCTACCTACTTTTCTTACATGCATACCAGTAATTTGACATTTCTAATTCACTGTGGAGCCGAATTTCTGTCGTTTTCATACTGTCAAGTCTTCTACATTTTGAAATAAATGTCTCTTCTAATTATTATATGAAT